TCCATTGCACCTGAAATATTTTCTCACATGTTTAAAGAATATAAAGGCTGCATCCAAAATCGCATTCTTCCCGACTATATAGCGTATACTATAATTAGGTTAGAGTCACACTATATAGAACATTCATTTTTTTAGCGTGTGTGAAGTAATTATTTATTCCAGACACAGTCCCAGAGTTTCACAGTCATAATGGTGTCTCTGTGGTGCCGCACAATGATATCGTAAATACACTCTTTCCAACATGATTTGAATGTCCCATTTTTTTCCTTAGTAAAGGAAAACATAACAGACTGGATACAGTAAATAGGTCACGACAGAAGAAGACGGTGCAGCAAACAACTCAAACACAGTTATCAAGAGATGACACCTTTAGTGTGTGACACACAAAAGAAGCTCACTTTCCAGCCTTTAGGGTCCATGAAGAGAGGAGAACTCTAAGAGATGTTGCGAGTGAACTACATCTGACATGAGAGGGAAGAGATCCAGTGGAGAGAGAATACGGAGACAGGGTGAAGGAAAGATAAAAGAAGAGTGAGTCGAACACAGAACGGGACGGAGGGGAGAAGAGACGAGAGAAAGCCAAAACATACAACAACAGAGACGTGGAAATGAAAGCAAAGACAGAACGAAGGAAAAACGGCCCGTTACAATATCAAACACGAGACCCAGATGAAGTCTATCGCACGGTTCTCCGCTGGAAGGAAGCGCACGGATCAAAGTTTGCCGGGACTCTTTATTTGCATGAGTGTGTCAGTCAAACATGTGCAGCTTTACAATGCAAAGAGACTGGAGGATAGAGGAGTGATATTACGAGTTGTGTTGTGTCAGATCACATCGTGCCTGTCTGTCTCCTTCAGGACGCCGTTCCACACACTTAAAACACACTGGTTGACAGTGTCAGCAATGGGGAAACGCTAAATGCCAGATTTCTTGACGTGAACGGTAAAATAGGACAGCGAGAGCGGATATGGACCAGCATCACTGCTGTCTCACAAACATTGAGAGGGAAATGATTTATAAGGAGGTCATGTGTGAACATTGTGTGTGTGTGTGAGTGTAAAGACATTTATTTTGATATATATATATATATATATATATATATATAAAAATTATATATTTTTTTATTCCCCAGTTACTGTAAAAAAAATATATATATATATATATATATATATATATATATATATATATATATATATATATACAGTATATATTATAATTATAATATATATATATATATATATATATATATATATATATATTATAATATAATATATTATATAATATATAATATATATATATATATATATTATTTTTTTTTTTTTTTTTTTTTTTTTTTTTTTACAGTAACTGGGGAATAAAAAAAAAATATATATATATTTTTTTTTTCCAGGTTTTGAATATTTTTTCTATGTATCAAGTGTCAGGCTATAGTGGTGAACAAAACACTTAATCAGAAATCATGAGTTTTCTGGAGGCGTTGTAGTTACAAAAGGTTTTCATAAGCTGTAATCCATAATCATCATAATTAGAACAAATAAAGGCTTGAAATATCTCACTTTGCATGTAATGACTCTATATAATATATTAGTTTCACCTTTTAAGTTGAATCACTGAAATAAATGAACTTTTGCACGATATTCATATACTTATACTTATACGTAATTCGCTGTGAATTCGCATGAAGCTTCTGATAATAACAGTTTTGAATTCCATAGAATCTTAAAAATAAAGGCTCTTTATTGGCATCAATGATTCCATTAATAACCCTGAAACCATAGATTTTTCAATTCCATAACAGGTTCTTTGTGAAAAAAAAATATCTTTTATGGAAGATTTTATTTTATTTTTTTAAATCACACTAAGAAAAAAAAGTTATTTTAAGACTTGTTGACTGAACGATTAATTTGGAACCAAAATGGTTCTTTTATTGCATTGCTGTGAAAATAAACAAACCCGTTTTGGAGCGTTTATTTTCATTAGTGTAGAATATCTGATTAACAAATGACCAAATAACATACGCCAGGTTTCCTTCATAAACCCCAGGAAGTGTTTCGCAGTACAGATGGTTCTCAGCAGTGTTTTTCTTCTTTTTCTGCTGATTCTTGAGACTGACATAACACATAACATATTAAATAGTTGTGTTTGTTTCCAAGCTGTACACTCATCACATATGAGAAATGACCGTGGTGAACACATAACATTGTCACAAACGGCCTTGTAACCAATCAGATCAACGTGTGTTAATTGGGACAGTGGAGTCGGGCAGCGTTCACTTGTTTCTGATCCACTGAATGCTGTTTCTACAAGCCGTCTCCAGTCACTGTCACGTAGAAAAACTAGATTTTAACGAGCAGAAAAAGAACTTCCTCGCCTCTAAAACCCTGTAGAAATGTTCATTTAGCCACTTAGAAGTGTGAATGTCACGCACACGTAACATATTGAGAGTGTGTGGTGATTTGTGCAAGTGTCACTGACACTGACGGGTGTGTATTCATGGAAACGGAAGGATATTATATCAGGAAAGAATAAACGTCAATGCCAGTATCCAATGAGTTTCATGTCCACCTCTGTGTCTATTCGCCTTCCGCTTTTCTAGATCGACTGGTTTACCTTTTACCTTTAAAGGGGGAAAATACTTGCACTTTTGTGCTAAAAGAGTTCATGCATTCAAAAAAACAATCATTTTAAATGATTGTGACTATGAGCGTTATGAAACGCTAAACTCACATGTTATTTCTTTCATTAATACTCGACACACAAACTTTTGACGTTCGAGGAAATCGTGGGGAAAAAAAAGTTTATCTGTGTTTTTTTCACAGGATAATGCATATTTATAACACATATAGCCGTATCACTGTAAAGAATACTATAAAATAATACAATTTGTTCTTCTTTCTGTGATAAGAAGCAGTTCGATCACTCGACTGGCGTTAAAATGTGATTTTGGATTTAAATGCTGTTATTCTCATAAACTTTATTTGCTAGAAACAGTTTGCAACTTAGTCTCCTCTAAATTAAATCACACAGCATGGTCTTAAAAAATGTTCCATAATCATTCATGCAGACGATAATTAAATCTGGGTTATTGTAATTGCATATTCATTGGCTAAACTAAGACAGCAAATCACAAAATAATCAAAGTACAGATGCATTTGACTGATTGTTTTTGCTATAGATATCATAAAACCGTGATTACTGTGAAATCTGATATTGTGTAAGCATAAATGTGCATAAAACACAACATTACACTATATAGTTCTGTGCCAAATACTCTTTAAGTGTGACAACTGCTTGGCCCATTTGTTCACACAGCTGTAAATATGCTTACAGTAATAAATGCATGTTATAGCACTGTCGTCATTTGTCGACAAACTCTGCAGGACACGTTCACACTGTACAACAGCTACTCTTAATTACACAATGATTAGACATCATTTCTCGGCGAGAGAAAGGCTTTCGGCAGTTTTATCCTGCAATGCACTGAAGATATAGAGTCCTGTTTCACTCTTAGAAGAAATGGTTCTATTTAGAACCAGAAATGGTTCCATCCCCCGCTTCATATATGGAACTCCAAAATGGTTCTAACCTTTTTTTTTTTTTTTTGGTAAAAGGTTCTATTGGCCAAGTATGGAACCCCAGGGTTCTATATAGAACCCAGAGGAACTTTTTTTTTTTTTTAAGAGTGTTTAGAACCTTTTAGGGGTTCCAAATACGTAGCGCTGATAGAACCTTTTCTTCTAAGAGTGTATGTGTCCTCTGAAGTGACTTTTTATGTTATTATTCTTTTTCTATATTCTTTTTCTTCTCTTTTGAACATGCTGAGATTTTGAAAAGAAAAAAAATAAAAACTATTCATATTCATAACACATTAAGGGAAAAAATAAATCTTAGAAGCTTATTTAAGGTATGCATACTTACAGGTGAAACTTGAAAAATTTGAATATCATGCAATGGGTAAAACTAATATATTATAGACTCATTACATGCAAAGTGAGATATTTCAAGCCTTTATTTGTTATAATTTTGATGCTTATGGATTACAGATTTTCACAATAGCCTATTCTAATTTTGAATTTGGGTTTTTTTATAAGCTGAAAGCCATAATCATCACAAATAAAGCCTTGAAATATCTGACTTTGCATGCAATGAGTCTATATAATATATTAGTTTCACCTTTTCAGCTGAATTACTGAAATAAATGCATGATATTCTACTGTTTTTCTCGACAAAATCCGCCATTTTGGAAGCAAAATTGGTTCGGCATTGGCCAATCGCATGTCTGCACTGGGATTCTGCAAATTTAGGGTTAATGCATCAGATATCATGGACTAACGTGCATAAAAGTGCTCATATTATGCTATTTTAAAGGCAAGGGTTCACCTGTTCTCCTACAATATGTTTACGTGCATCTCATTTTCTCATTGAACATCACCACATTTTTCAACGATTCTCAAACCACTCATCGGATGAATCAGTCTCTCCTTCCATGATACCGGATGCATTAACTAATTTGACCTTTTTGTAAAGTCTCACCTCTTTATTTTTCAGGAAGACTTTCATAGGCAACAGCAGAAACCATTGCTCCACAAGATCTACAGCTCACTTCTGTGCAGCTCATTTAACATTCAAACACAATACAACATTCATTTATCATGATTTGATTGGGGGAAAAAAAATACTAAGATTGCACTCAATCTCAAATGCAATGTCTTCCCAGGACAGAACTACAAACAAATTCCCTTCAGAAACGCCCATGATTTTTTCCAGGCCTTGGAAACACTGTTTTAAAACCCACGGTTTGTGGTGAGTGTGGGAACAAGCATCTGATCAGATCGCATGCACATCGTCCCTCCGTGAACGAGCAGAAGTGAATGCTGGATGTGCTTTGAACTCCACTGAGTGATAAAACAGGTTTACACCGAGGACAGCACTTCATGAGCCGTACGAACCTCAGCAGAAAGTTCACATACGGACACGAGTCGATTATTAAGTGCACTCACCTATAAATCTTGTACCGGGTCGTGAATCCTTGGCGAAATCTTTCCATGAAGGAGAGGTACCCCTTCGAGTGGTGGAAAGGGCCACGGTCAGAGATGAGCCAGTCAAACTGCTTGGTAACATGCTGTTCGTTGGCCGAGGGCTCTTGACGGGAAGACTGGACTGTTATATGGTCCCATATAAACAGGAGGTAAGTGACTTCAATGAGCCTCCAGTTCATGCTTCTCTCTCGACCGCTCTCTGCTCATTCTCGCTCCATTCTGTGGAGACCTGCAGGACGAGAACAACACACAACGGCGTTTCAGCATCTGTTATCCAGAAGCAAATCAACTTCACTTTAGTTTTCAATTTCACATCGTGCATGATTTTAAAAACACGAGTCAAAACTTGTAGAGGCTAAAATGCAAGATTAATAGGGGGGATGTTTTTTTTTTTGTTTTTTTTTTATGTCCTTAAAAGTTCAATTATACCAAGAACAAATCACTAAACATAAAATTATTTGGCAAAAAGGTATAGGTTTTATTTCATATATATATATATATATATATATATATATATATATATATATATATATATATATATATATATATATATATATATATATATAAGTTAAAACCCACTAAATGAGTGATAAGTTCGGAAATAAAATAATGCTTGTATGTAACAGAGCACCTATATATATATATATGAAGAGTTCAGATGCAAAAGCCTCTAAATGCCATTTTAAATTTTCCTCTTTAATGATGATTTTTATCAAACTTGTATATTTAAGTTCAGCAATTTCACTTAAATAACAATTAATAGGTAATTATCATTGCCATTTATCATTTTTCACTAAACGTAAAATTATTTGGCAAAATATATGTTTTATTTCATGTATATACTGTATATATATATATATATATATATATATATAAATAAGTTAAAACCCACTAAATGACTGATAAGTTTGGAAATAAAAATAATGCTTGTATGTAACAGAGCACCTATATATATATATATATATATATATATATATATATATGAAGAGTTCAGATGCAAAAGCCTCTAAATGCCATTTTAAATTTTCCTCTTTAATGATGATTTTTATCAAACTTGTATATTTAAGTTCAGTAATTTCACTTAAATAACAATTAATAGGTAATTATCATTGCCATTTATCATTTTTCACTAAACGTAAAATTATTTGGCAAAATATAGGTTTTATTTCATGTATATATAGGTGCTCTGTTACATACAAGCATTATTTTTATTACCGAACTTATTTGCGTACAATAACCAATGTAATAAAGCGTACAATATTCCCGTTCATCAGTTTCTTAAAGCTAAACACACTCTTAATGCCACTCTCTAGGCATGAAAGTGTCATGAAACATGCAAGACTCAACATTTTTCCAGTCAGCCTGATTTAATGAAACCTAATCGTGTTGGCATAACCCCCATATTTTATTTTATTATGCGTTTAATCCAGAGTCCTCGTGGTGTGTGCAGAGCTCATGCTAACCTGACTCGCTGCCCTTTTCACAGATGAGGACGAATTACAAACAGGAGGAACAGCCTTCACTTTATTCAGGCTAATTGGTGGCATGATAAGTTCAGGCGGGGGTGAGTGTCAGTGTTGTGATGTGTTGTGACATGGGTTTGGTTTGTGGACGAGAATCTCCTCCGCGGGATAATTAACACCGTGCGTGCGCTCGCACATGAATTTATTGCATTAGCTTCATTTAGGTAATTAAGTGGTGCATACTGATATCCTGCATGAAAGTCAGACGCGCAGGAGTAAATGTACTGCTGTAAATAATCATTTGTAAAAGAGACGTCAACATAAAAAAAAAATAAAAAAAAAATATATAAAAAGTCAAGAAAAAAATTTTTGGTCACATTTTTTTTTTAAATATGATATTTAATTAGGTGCTGCTGTTGGTCACGAGGTGTTTGAGTCAGTGTTTTATAATTGTATTAGTTGCACCTGAGTTTGATGTGATCAGCCTAATTATAAGCTTGTTATTTTTAATACTGCTTGAAGAAAAAAAATCATTTGATCATTTATATTTAGAGTCAAGAAAAACACATTATGTTAATATAATCCACTCCCATCTGATTACATCTGTCCCAACATGCCAGGTCATATTTCTCCTCAGAATAGATGTAATGCAAATAAAAAAGTGTATAATACACTGTATAAAGTCGTAACCCTCAAAAGAGTGAACTCGACTTAATACATAACAAGTAATTTTGCTAGTAACTTAAACTTGCTAGTAATTTTGTATAACTTAATGTAGGTTGACTTAAAAAAAAGTTGTAAGTAAAGATAATACAATGTATAAAGTCGTAACCAAACTTAATGCATATACACTGTAAAAAATAAATATTGTTGGTTTAACTTAAAAAAATGAAGTAACCTGGCTGCCTTAAAAATTTAAGTTCACTGAAATGGAAAAATTGAGTAAATACAATGAAGGTGATTGATTTAATCATCAGAAACTTAAAATATTATGTTATCTGAACTACATAAATGATTTAAGTTGATTTGACAAAAGAAATAATGCTGTGATTACATTTTTTTTTACAGTGAAAAAAAAACACACACAAAAAACAACAACAATGATTTGTAGGATTTGTTGTCCTAAAATTGAATTTCTGTATGAATGTATTAATGACTGTATTACAGTAATGAGAATCAGGTGTTTTGTAGCCAGATTATTTTAAAGGAAAAAAAAAAGCTAAATGTTTTGGTTTTTAAAATCACATGCATTAATATTTTATCATAAGTAATGTATGAGCACAGGCCTTATCAGAGGCAATAGATACGCGAGCTTAACACGAGCAGCCCGTGTGTGTGCTATTAAAGAGAGATGCATTTCCATATCACAGCACATGTCACCGGCACTCTTTACGACTGTCTCTCCTGCAGCCAGTTATAATGTCGTGATAAGAGCGTTTTCATCCGTAATGATCCTCGAGATCTTCCCCTCCAGCCCTAACTCGCCGTTATTAAAAGACCTTCAGCTCCTCGTGAAGCGTCAGTCCGCACGACGCGTGTTGCTTGTCATGTTTCCTCAGAAGTGTGTACATTATATTGTGCATGCAGTTGTATACCCTTTTTTAATACATTTAGTATAAGAAGAACTTTTGGTTTTTAATTAAATTATGCTGATTTCAGTAGATTTGAGCCATTTTAATACATCAAAATTGCTTAATAGTTGCACTTAAAGAGGACTTTTCCTCCATGTCCATCTTTCTTTAGTGTGTAATGTCACTGCTTGAGCATGAAAGAGTTTCCCAAAGTCCCTCCAGCGGGAGTTCATCTCCTCAAACGCCTCCATTGTAGTCTTGAACGTACGGAGGTGTATTGCATTCACTTAAAGAAAAAAGAGTTTTTCTGAATTAACGAGTTAATTTTTCATGAGAAAAAAAATTTGCTCTGTTTTTCTGAATTAATGAGTTAATTTTTTATGAGAAAAAAAGTTTTTGCTCTGTTTTTCTGAAATAACGAGTTAATTTTTCATGGAATTTTTTTTTTGCTCTGTTTTTCTGAATTAATAAGTTAATTTTTCATGAGAAAAAAAATATTTTGCCCTGTTTTTCTGAATTAATGAGTTAATTTTTCATGTATTTTTTTTTTTGCTCTGTTTTTCTGAATTAATGAGTTAATTTTTCATGAGAAAAAAAAATATTTTGCTCTGTTTTTCTGAATTAATGAGTTAATTTTTCATGTATTTTTTTTTTTTTTGCTCTGTTTTTCTGAATTAACGAGTTAATCTTTTTAATGGAATTTTTTTTTTTTGCTCTGTTTTTCTGAATTAACGAGTTAATTCCGAAAAAACAGAGCAAAAACTTTTTTTCTCACGAAAAATTAACTCATTAATTCAGAAAAACAGAGAAAAAAATATTTTTTTCATGAAAAATTAACTCATTAATTCAGAAAAACAGAGAAAAAAAATTTTTTTTCATGAAAAATTAACTCATTAATTCAGAAAAACAGAGAAAAAAATTTTTTCTCATGAAAAATTAACTCATTAATTCAGAAAAACAGAGCAAAAAAATTCTCATGAAAAATTAACTCGTTAATTCAGAAAAACAGAGCAAAAAAAAATTTTCTCATGAAGAATTAACTCATTAATTCAGAAAAACAGAGAAAAAAATTTTTTCTCATGAAAAATTAACTCATTAATTCAGAAAAACAGAGCAATTTTTTTTCTCATGAAAAATTAACTCATTAAGTCAGAAAAACAGAGTAGATTTTTTTTCTTCAAGTGAATGCAATACGCCTCCATATGAACGTCACAATATTCCTCATTATAATAATTAATGCGTAGAATAAAGGGGCGGGGCCTAGTTAGTGTGTTAAACTGGCAGTTATGGAAAGGGGGCGGGGCATTTCCCAAACACACTTGCAGCACTCGACCAATCACAACACACCACTCCAGCCGACCAATCAGAGCACAGTGTGCTTTTCAGGAGGAGGGGCTTCATAGAGACAGGAAGTAAACAGAGCGTTCCTGACAGACTGGGAAGAGAGGAGCCGCAACAATGGAGAATATGAGGAGAATAATCAACATTCAAGCAGGAAAACCTGAAAACAACGTCAAGACTTTGGAATATGCAGTTGCCCTAATTACAATTTTTCTCTTTTTGTGTCTTTTGCAAGAATAATGCAGCCAGAAAAAAGCTGATCACAATGTAATAGTGTAGCTATTTTTGTTAACTTATGCATCAATATTAAATGGGGTAGCTTTTATGCAAATTATGTGTAGAGTAGCTTGTAGTTTGGGAAGCTAATTACATGTTTGTGTTTTCACTGTTAATAAAAAACTTGACCTTTACCCACCTTTCAAAAAATTATGAAACATTAATTATTTATACCGTGCATACGTCCATAATTAACATTCTACAGGCAAAAAATAAATGCATTATTAATAATATCTGCCAATGCAAACGCAGAGCATGAATCATGTAAATTTATCCTAGTCTTCTCAAAGGCGTTCGCAGGTCTTTATACGGGACATACATAATTAAGAGGTAGATATGCTAAGAGCTCCGGGCAACTAAATGCAGATTAATATTCTCTTTTCTATGCAATTATCTAATTGTCAATGAAGTCGGCTGTTTACAGCGAATGAATGAATGAAGATGTTGGAGTCACACTGAGTTCTGGAAGTGTGAAGCTGAGCGACTAACGAGGGATCCTTTAACTAATTGCTTCTGACTAATTTGAGGTTGCCTGTCATAATGTAACAATGCATCATTTTACTGACATTAAAAACGTA